CTCTTAGGGGTTCATGTCTATGTCCGTGTTCTTTGTGTTCTAGGTGGAGGAAGGCCGGGACTCTATGGATCTTGTTTTGTTTGCCTGTAGAAACACCACCATGTCTGTGCGGTGGAGGCATATAGTTTGCACTTCAGTACCTGAGTCAAATGTTCTTCCTAGGGCTGGCACGACTTAAGTCATGTTTGCTTAACCAAAGAATAATATGCCAAGATTTAGGGAGCAGAGACCCAAGGTGGCCCCGGGCAGGGATCTCTTCCTGCACTCAAGGTGTTGGAGACAACCTGGGAGATCTCTGAAATGACTTCAGAACCCTCCCAACCCCCGCCCTCAAACACATCTGGCTCCCTCCCTTCCTTCCTTCCTTGCTAATCTCGCAGTTAGAAAACAGTTCCTCAGTTGCACACTTGCATACCTTTTCTCTTTGTATGGCCGGGTTGGATTTTCCAGGTTTCTCTGCCCTGCTTGACTTTTAATTATAAGTTCTGCCTCTAGCTCATCCTTTTGTTCTCACAGATCTCCATATGTGGCCCATGAACAGCATGAAGCAGCGCAGATGCTTTGCTGTTAGATGGTTTTTCTGCCAGACTTCCTAGTTCATTGCTCTTAGTTTGGACCTTGCACAAGGTCCTCGGACACAGAGAGGATTCAGCTAAATTCGTTGCCAATTTATAGCACGAATGGCCTTTGTTCTAAGTGCTCCACCATTTCTATTTAAGATCTCACTCACTTGTTCTTACTGGACACATTTCTGCAAGTGTTTATATCAGTTACCTTGCATGCTGTAACAAACCACAGGACTAGAGTATTAATTTGGGATCCCAATGTAAGGGTAGACTTCATCATTGCAGAAAGGACGTAACAGCTGGTCACATTGTGTCCCCAGGAAAAGATGAATGGCAAAGCTTAGCTTGCTTTCTCTTTTTAATTTAGTCTAGGACCCTAGCCCATGGGGGACTGTACTGTCCACATTTAGGGGAGTCTGGTCCCCTGAAAAATGAATGAATGCTATTTTATTTCGTGCAGATTTGTCACAAGTTTGCTGTGATTTCGTTGCATGTAGATTCTTGGGGCTGCCTCCATGGTCAAGACAGAGGATGGTTTCCTCATAAGGATTTTGCAGCTGCATCCACATTCCTCTACACCCTACTTCTGACACCCACCACCCTGTTTTCTATCCCTATAATTGTGTTATTTCAGGAGTGTGAATGGGGGTGCACAGTATGTACACCTTTTAAAACTGGTTTTGAAAATCATTGTCATTCCCCAGAGGTCACCTAAGTTGTGCCCGTCAACAGTCACTGGGAATTGCTCCATATTGCATATCTGCTTCAACGTGTTTAACCTTTCACCTGCTCTGCTGTTTCACACATTTTTGCGATTCCGTGGGAAACAACAATTCACATCATGTGCAGTGTTTGATGTGAATGTGGTTTTCATTTCTCTGGGATTTATTTCCCCAGAGGGCAATTGCTAAGTCATTTAGCAATTCTGTATTTAATCTTCTCGGAGACTGCCTCACTGTCTTGCAGAGTGGCTGGGCCATTCTATGTCCCCACTGGCAAGGCATATGTGGTCCATTTTCTCATCCGCATTTGGCCCTGTTATTTATTTTAACCATTCTGTTACATATACACTGACATCTCATTGTGGCTTCAATTTGCATTTGCTTACTAGCTAATGACATTGAGCATCTTCTCATGTCCATATTTGCCATCTGTATATCTTCCCCAGTAAAACATGTTTGAGTCTCTTCCCCATTTTCTAACTGGATAACTGTAATTATTTTTTCTTGTTTGCCATTAACTTTAAAGATATCTTTATATATCCTAGGAACCAGCAGGATATGATTATCCAGGATTCAGTTCACAAATACTTTCTCCCTATGAGCGGTTTAGCTTCTCATCATCTTGTGTGGTTCTTCCCAGAATGCACATTTTTTCATTTTGATGTTAAGTTTATTAATTTTTCATTTTATGAAAATTTTAAGTCTCAGTTTTTTTTGCCTTACCCTAGGCCAGGAATATTATATTATAGGGTCAGGAGGAATGACACACACCTGCAATCCCAATGCTTGGGAGGCAGGTAAGAGGACCATGAGTTCAAGGCCAGCCTTGGTTACATGGTGATCTCAAGGTCAACCTAGAACTCATAGTAAAACCTGTCTCAAAAAAGTAAAGGAAAAAGTATTTTTTCTATAGGTTTTATGTTTCTATTTCATATTTAAGTCCATGCTCCATTTAGATTTAATGCTGGTATAAGGTATGAGTGAATGGATATTCCTATGACCAAATCATTCTGTTTTACAGATGGAAAAACCAGAGAGATCTGGAAAATAAAAATAAAAATAAGGCCCAATAACTGCTAAGGAGAAAAAAAGTCATCCATTGCTGCTATGGTTGATCTTCTCCCCTCCCCTTCCCTTCCCCTTCCCCTCCTCTTCCTTTCCTCCCCTCCCCTCCTCCAGTCCTCTCCTTCCCCTCCTCTCCTTCCCCTCCCATCTCCTCTTCCCTTTCTCTCCTCCTTCTAGAGCATATGTCCCAGCTTCCTGATTGCATTCATTCCTTTAGGGTGACCAGCCCTTCCCTCCGCACACAGGCTGAGGTCAGAGCCTGTCAGAACACAGTGTGGAGGATGGAGGCAAATAGGGCAACTTCCCTGTATGCAAATGACTTGTTATTCTGGTTTGGAGAAAGGCTCCACTGGATTTCAGCAGTGCCCAGATTCTTACAGGACGGCTGGGTCACCGCACTGACTCTCGACCTTGGTGACCATGCACCCAGGAAGGCTCACTTCTCCTAGAGTTCATCCAAAGACTTTGTCCTGGCCCACGTTAGAGAGACCAGAAGAGGAACACTGTAGTGGCTTTAGACAAACGCTTCACATGTTGCCTGATGTCCCAGAGTGCTCAAACATACAGCTGGCCTGTTTCCACAGGTGGCTCGGCATTAAACCCTGAGCTCCGTCCAACACATCCCTACACCTTCTCCTTGGTGAGAAACCCACAGTGTTGTTTTATTTGAGGTCCTGGCAGCCTGCCTTGAGCCCTGGGTGTGCCCTCCTCCAGGGGTGATGCTCCCTTCAACCCTCCTGTGAACCTCTGAATACAGCGCCGAAGGCTTCCAGGTCCTGCTCTTCCTGGAGATCCCCTGCAGGTTTGACTGGGAACTGCCAAAATGATCTGGATGGTTTGTCGCTGTATTTTCCTCCAGGAACCTATGTTGATCTTCCAAATGTTGAGTGAGACTTCTTGGGAACAAGGGGCTGTTTAAGTTTCCAGTCTCCACATTTACTCACTTAACAGGAGGCCAGAGACCTCCGTCTGGCCTCCAGTTCTCCCCTTCTCAGCTTGCAGTGGTCCTTGTCTTCCAAATCTCCCAGGTTCCTGGGGAAGGAGACGCAGGCAGGGGTGCTCCTGAGGCCCTGCCAAGTGAGCCGGGGAGCTTTCCCTCTGACATCATTTTAGAATAATGCTCTGAGTAACAATTATCTAAATTATCCTATTATTAATAAAACTCGGGAGTCAAATAGTAGGGTATGAACCTAGTAGATCCAAAACATGATGGAGGAAAGCCCAGCCAACCCTTCTCTCTGCTTCTCCAGCATCCAAAAAGGCCTGTGAAACTCCTAAACCCCTCCTTCTTCCTCCCTGTGTCCCTCTCTCCCCACGTGAGTCCGCCAAAACACTCTATGGTTTATTCTGGTCAACTGAGAGTGGACTCCGTCCTCTGAATCAAGGTTCAGTTTATTAACAGTTTCTGGGGGCAGAGTGAACAAATCCCCCCAAACAGCTCTGGGTGTAGCTTCCTTCATCTCCACCTTCTTCCAGAAAGCACAGCTCATCCCACCACACTCAGCGCATTTCCGAAGGGATCCTGGTTTGAGTATCAGTCACCACTTAATCCAATAGCTATGTGGAATGAACTGTTTTCACACCCAGTTCTCTGTCTGTAAATAGATGTTGACATCATAACACCATTGTGGGTTTAAACAAGAAAATGTCTATAAAGTACACGTAGTAGGCAGATAGCTACTGGTCCTGGAGCAAAGCTAATGTTCAGGCAGTAGTGGCCATGCGTAGTCCCCATGACAACTGTCTCCAGGCCCAGTCTTCAGCCCTTAATCATTCATCCTGGAGAGTCTTTGTAAAATGTTATGAAGGGGCAAGTTGCCCAGCTCCCACTGAAACTACCTTCGCTTTTCCATTTCCTAGGAGCTCAGTGAACTAAGGTATGGCAGGGGCTTCTGGAGATTTGGGTGTACAATCTAGCATGTCCTCCTCCGGTGGTGGACTCTTCAAACTTGAACTTGGTCACTCTTCAAGTTCTCTGCGGGCTTCAGCCCATCTGTCCTGCTGCAGGTGAGGTGGGAGCTGCCTGCTGTAAGGTCCCCAGCAGCACCTGCCTCAGAACAGTGGCATGCAGACGGGAAGGAATGAATGCTCCTTGCAGACTGAGTCCAGCTGTAGCCCATCTCTGCTCCAGCTGACCTTCCTTGCTGACCTCAAGGATGTGAAGACTACTTAGCAAACAAACAATACTAACAAGAGTCAGATTCAGACCAGAAAAGAATCCCGTGGCATATTCTACACCCCATGCATTCCAAGGGGAAAGTAGGGCTCGGGTCCCCACTCTCGGGAACACTAAGTTCTCTGTAGAGGTGAGCAGGAAGATAAAAACCAGCCTGCTCCCACTTAACACTGGACCACAATGCCAGACCAGCCTCTCCTGCAGCACTCTGGCTTCCAGCAGCAGGCACAGCTCTGCCCCTCCCTAGCTCTGCTTAGGTTGAGCTAGTCTAGGCTGAGGAAGGAGAATCTACCTCAAAGGGACACCCCCACTTCCAGGACCAGCTCTCCCCCTCCCTTCTGGAGCCTCAGGCTCCCGACTGGCGGGGGTTTCCCCACCTTGACAGGGAGAGAAGTGGGGAGGACCTTCTCACCTCATCATTCTCACCCGCCCAGACCTGAAGAGCAGGAAGCAGAGGCTTCTGGGGCCACCACCCAGCTTGCTGCCACAGCAAGGTGAGGTGCAGAGGTGCATGGGAGTGTATGGTGCTACACAGGGCCAGGAGGCCTCGGGACCCCATGGCAGTCAACTCCTTGGAGCAGCAGCTGGGCGGCCTCACCATCTTCACCCGAGATGATTTTGAGGAAGAATGGCGCCGGGTAGCCAGTGGTGGCTTCAGTCAGGTGTTCCAGGCAAGACACAAGCGCTGGAGGACCCGGTATGCCATCAAGTGCTCCCTGTGCCTCCAGAAGGAAACCACCAGGTAGCTGACTGCCCGCTTACACAGAAGAGAGACTGAGGTAGAACAAGTGTTTGGTCTAGAGAGCTCAGAGGAAGGAATGAGCTGGGGTTGAGGTTAGCCACTATCTAGGTGCTTTTAAATGAGCCTCTGTGATCTGAATTCTCCAGACTAGGCTTTTTCTCTGAGCCCACACTACAGTAGATAAATAATACCTGCTTGTTAGCAGCTCAAAAAGCCAAAAGTGACTAGGAACTACCTTGCAAAAGTGCCTCCATCTGTCTGGCCTCTCAACCTTGCTCTGCCTCCTTCCTCTCGTGTGATGATGCTCAAAAACACTCCTCCATACCCATCTTTTCTGGACAGGACTGAGCTTTCCAAGAAATGTGACATTTTGCTCAATGACTGTACGTTATCGCCTTCTCCCTTTCCATGCTAGTCACTTTAGGCTGGAGAGGACTGGAGGCTGGACACTGGCCCCGGGGGACATCACCAGGTAGCTGATACCACACTGCTGGCCTTCCACAGGAGATAAACTGAGGGCAGGACCCACCCAAGCCACTTGTTGGGGGACATGAATCCTGCTGGAAAGTCAAGTCCAAAGTCCCATGATATCTGTCTGTTTTGGACCCTGGCTGTCATAGTGTGTTACAGCCATACTTTTCCTGCCTCTGGCTTTATGGTGTGTTCCTGCTATGTGCTCCCCCCTCACAGTCAGGATGTTAGGCCTATCCTCCCAGAAAGCCTCTTGGGGCACCTACTGGAAACCCAGTGACTCTCACTTGGGTGCTATTTGTTCTGTTTTCTGTGACTTGACAATGTCCCCCAACAGTGTCTTTTGTACTCGCTCTTCTCTGCATAGAGTACTCTTGGCTTTGGAAAAGGGCCAGATGACTCTGAGATTTGTCCAAACTGTGTATAGTCTTTGAAATAAAGAGCATGAGGAAAGTTGGTGATATAACTTGGCATAGAACAGCATTTGCAGCCAAGCTTGATCCCCAGTACCCACAGGTGGAAGGAGAAAACTGACTCCTACAAGTTGTCCTGTGACTTCTACACCCATACATATGAGTAGTGACACATGGACATGGACATTCACACACACACACACACACACACACACACACACACACACACACATGAAATATGTTAATAAATAGTACGAGGAAGTGAATGGCATTGACCTGCCTGTACTGTAACTATGATAAAACAAAAAAAACAACAAAACAAAAAAAACCTGCCCCTAGTTTTCCTTCCCAAGTTCTTAGGAGTGGAAAGGAATAGTAAAATTGTTAATAACTATAACTAGTGTGTGTTATGTATGAATGGCTATATTTGGAGCTTTATGACTACTGCTTTATTAGATCATCCATCCACTCATCCACCCACCCATCCATTCATCCATCCATCCATCCATCCATCCATCTATCCACTTGATGAAGGCTAATTGCTCTCTATGGGCCCAGCACTATATTGGACCCTGGGAGGAAATGGTGAGTGCAGTTCTTGTGTTACCACTCTCTGGAACTTGCAGCTGAGAGGGAGAGAGACATTAACCATGTAATTGGTGCACCTGTGACATGTGCGGGAATGAATGGTTTATGGTGGGTCCTTTGAGCTCTTCCCGACAGAGTTTGCCTGAGATGGGAAAACCTCTGAGAAAGTCACCCTGGAGCTGAAATGTGAAGAATGAGCGTGACTTATGTAGATGAGGAGAAAGTGTGTATGCGATGGGGATATGAAGAACCTGTGACAAGAAGGACAAAGTGTGCACAACGATAAGGAAGAGGCCTTACAGCAGGAGCTGAAAACATGGAGAAGCAGAGGAAAGCCACGGAGGGCTTTGCAACTCAATTGCAGGACAAGCGTGGAAGGGAATCAGTCAGCTGTGCAGCTTGGGGGATGGACTGAAAGGGGGCGAATGGACGCTGTTCTTGTTAGGAGACTCGTGTCTTCAGGCAGGAGATGATGGAGACTCAGACTATAGCGCTAGTAGTGGAGATGGAGTGAAAGGAAGAGAGGCAAGGAGTAGCATGACCTCATGCTGGTGCTAGTTGACCACAGGAAGCATAACACGAAAGGGTGCTGAGGTATACTCGGCACACCAGAAGAAGACAGGACCCACCAGAATGGCACTCTATGACAATAGGAACTTGTGTCTATTTTGCTCACTGCTAGTGTCTGGTGCATAGTTATTGTTAAACAGATATTTGTTGAATGATGGTCTTGGCATAAAAGAGATGGTGAATCCCATGTTTGAGGAGGGCTGTTTTAAGTCCACACATATGTTGAGCGTAAGATGCCCTTCCGTCAAGAAGAGTCAAGTATATGTCAGAATAAAGACTGGCGCTAACATTGTTCACATTCACAAGCTATGTGCTTTAGGTAGTAATTGGAGCCAGGAACCCTTAAGTGAACAAACATGAGCCCCTGTCCTCATGGAGCTTAGATTCTAAGAGGAAATAATGGGTAGATAAACAAATGCAATTTTTATTTATAGCACTTAGGACTACTGGGCACTTTCTTGATTGATATACCTAAGAGATTTGAGTAGTGGTGTCTTCCAAGGATAGATTTGGTCTAGAAGTCTTAATCTGTGGGTCATCTGCATGTGCAGGGATAAAGATTGGTAGAACTGAGGTAGAGATGCCACTTATACAGGCTTGTTTCTGAAGCACTAATTAAGGCAATCTGAGTTGTCTTTGAAGCAGATGAATGGGCAGGCCACGTGGTTCTGTGAGCGAAGGTGTTCTAGACAGAGGAAACAATACATGCAGAGTTCCTGAAGGGACAACACACTCGGCATGTGGGCAGAGAAAGAGGGATGGGTTAGGAAGCAATGACACTGGAGAGCCATGACAGGGGTGAAGGTGAGGAGACCACAAGGACCTTTGTCAGGCTTGGAGAGACCCTTGTCTTCGGCTCTGAAGGAGAAGAAAGGCATTAGATGGCTCCCAGCAGAGCAATGATGCTTTTTGTTTTTTAAAGATTTATTTTTATTACATCTGTGTGTGAAAGTGGGGTATGTGTACGTGAGTGCAGTTGTCCACAGAGACCAGAGGCATCAGATCCGCCTGGATCTGGAGGTACTTCATGTGGGTGCTGGGAACAGAACTTGGATCCTCTGAAAGAGCAGTATGTACTCTTAACTGCTGAGTCACCTCTCCATCCCATCCTATGTACATTTATATTTGAAAGTATTTGTTTGGAGGAAGAGGTAACAGCAGAAAGGCCATGTAGGAGGCTTGGGCTCAGAGGCAAATGGTAAGGGTAGTAAAAAGTAGCCAGATCCTTGCCGTACTTCAGTGGTGGAACTGATTGTGGGAATGATGTAAGGGGTCAAAGAGGAATCCATCGAGGATTTGTCTGAGGCCTGGAGGGTGGAGAGCACACTGGCTGGGGTGCATAAGGACTTCTTCTGGGGAGATCAAGAGTCGAGCTTCAGACACACAAAGTATTGAAGCATCAAATGTCTGATTGAAGATGCTGATCATGAGCAGAGATATTGGAGTGTGAGGTGGGGTGAGCAGAGAGCTTGAAATGAGTGCAAGGGCTGAGCATTCTAAATTAGCAAAGGAGACAGAGAAGGAGAGCAGAATGACAATCAGGGAGATGCAGGGGAATGTGGACAAGGCTGGGATAAGGGAAGAGAGATTTGAACTGCCCGCTGAGGGCAATGGGAGCTGAGGCCAGAGAGACAGAAACCCACTGAGGAAGTCTGGGTGTGGCTGGGAGCTGTGCAGAGCACTTACATTATTCTCATTCTGCAGATTAAAACCCAGGTCCAGAGAGTCCTGTCCAAAGTCATGCACATCTCAAGAGATAGAACTAAGCCTTGAGGTCAGAACAGTGTTACCTAAAGCCCGCATAATTTGTCCACCTTGAGGCAAATGTTACTCTGGTTTCCATGTGCCCAAGAGAAAGAGAGAGGATGGTAAAAATACCCCTAGAGCTGTCTGGAATAACAGAGAAGGGCTAGAGGTGGCTAACCCTGAAGTAACCGCCTGCTCAGATACCTGGGGAATGGTAGATGTTCCTGAGGCCAGACCCTCTGGCTGGTTTCCCAGGGTGACCCTGAGAGTACATCACCAGCTGTTGGCAGCATCCCACTGCAACAGCAGCACAGCTTGGCAAATACCTTGCTTTTTCAAAATGCCATTCCTCCTTAATCCCCCATCCCTGCAATTCCCAACCAGTCTCTTGCAATTTGCATATTTACAGCTCTGTGGGCACACACAGTGAAGTGAGAGAGAGGACCTGCGGCGCTTGTTTTACAGGGTTTCCCCTTAAGTCTTGACTTCAGTTCACTTCCACAAAGACATACTGTGCAGTGCATGGCAATGCGTGGGGGGTTGGGGTGGGGATGGGGCAAAGAGTACTGATTGTAGTTCATCCATCACACAGACTACCCTGCATCCACTAAAGACTGTGCTTCAGGAGAATAACAATGCAGGGACTCCAGAGAAAGGAGGGAGGAGTGAAAGGGAGGGAGGAAGGGAAAAGAGATTCCTGGGAAACGTCATAAAAGAACATACTAAAATGTTAGTGGAGGCCAGCTCTGCAAGGTTGGATTACTGGTAGTTTAATTTTTTTTTTTTTTACAGCTCTCTGTATCTCCTAGGTTTTCTATGAGGTGCATGTATTATTTTCATAATCAAAATGGTAATAGATGTTATTTTAAAACAGACTCATGAAGCATAATACTGGTCTTCCAGGGGCTCAAAAGCTTCTAGGGGAGATGAATATGAAAGCAAGTGGGCAGGATAAATAGCAGGCTGTGTTCCAGGCTTTTTATGGCTGGCTCTGCAGGATGGAGGGACTCCCCAGCCTGCAAGGACCTTGCCTTTTCACTGATAACAGCTTGAGCCCAAGTCCTGGCTGCCTGGGATATTCCTATAGTCTCTCACTTCCTTTCCACTACCTTGTAAACTTCTGAGGTTTCTCTGGGTCTCCTCAGCTTGCTTCATACTAAGTTGGTATGTTCTGCCCATAGCCCTGGTAATTAGTGTTTCCCTTTCTTTGACCCCATTCCTGGTTCTCCATAGCTCTGAGATGAGTTGTCTCTTTGAAGAAGCAGTCAAAATGGAGAAGATTAAGTTTCAACACATTGTGTCTGTCTATGGGATATGCAAGCAGCCTCTGGGCATTGTGATGGAGTTCATGGCCAGTGGTTCCCTGGAGAATACACTATCTACCCACAACCTCAGTTGGCCGCTCAAGTTCCGTATCATCCATGAGACAAGTTTGGCCATGAACTTCCTCCACAGCATTAAGCCACCCCTGCTCCACCTGGACCTCAAGCCGGGCAACATCCTACTGGACAATAACATGCATGTCAAGGTGAGGGCCTTGGTGATGTATGCTAGACCTCCTCCATGTAGCAGGATTGTCTACCTGCCAATCACTGAACCAGCCAAGAGTTTGAGCCATTTTCTGTTTGGATAAATAGTGAACACAGGGGATATACCTGAAACAGAGATGGGTAAGCAGACAGCATTGGAACATGAGACTGGGGCTTGTGGCGCCCATATCAACACCCTCAGGTCCACACTTGTAAGACTGATAGAATAATCTCTACCCCTCGTGTTCTTTGTCTGGAGAAGGGATATGTATAAAGGAGATTTTTATGAAGTCATAATGGCCCTTTTCTTCAGTTCTCAAAACCTTCAATAATCTTTTGCCCTCAAGAGCTTTGCACATTCTGTTCCTCTAACCCTTTTTATCTAGAAAGTCTTAATCATATCTCAGCTCTCAGACTGATCATTACTTCCTTGGGGAGAACTTTCTTACTCTATCTCAATATATACTTATATATTTCTTATACACTCCCATAATGCCTTTGTTACTTCATTTTGCTGACCCTCATTGCAGTATATAAGCAATTCTATGAAACTTTTTTTAAGGTTAAGCAAAGTTGAGTGAGAACTCCCTGAATCAGGAAAAGGGTCTCAAGAAAGAGTGAAATTGTTCTTAATGCATGTATACCCCACCTGAATACCCACCCACTGTGATGGTATGTGGTTTAAAGAGGTGTCTCAGAACCCCAACTCATTGTCCCTTAATGAATGGTAAATGACAGTCTGAAAGGCTGGAAAGAGAGAAGGATAAACATGCTGTGAGTGTTCCAGGATCCATGGAGATGGGAAGAACAAGGTCCTGGAGGCGGTATACAAGTTGTCATCCTACAGATGAGAAAACTAGGGCTCTGAAAGATGAACAACTGGTTCAAGCTCATCTAGTGATGTTAGTAGAGCTGGGAGACAGGGAAGTTGAAAACCATATGTGATGTACTAAAGCATCGTATACTGATAAGGGCAGTGGGGAGGAGCCACAGATGGCTTCTGGAAGGTGTCTCTTGCTACCCTGTCCTTGGCATCTGGCTCTCTTCCAGATTTCAGACTTTGGCCTGTCCAGATGGATGGAGCAGTCAACCCACATGCAGTACATTGAGAGGTCGGCTCTGAGGGGCACACTCAGCTACATCCCCCCTGAAATGTTCCAGGAGAATAGCAAGGCTCCGGGACCTGAATATGACATGTACAGGTGAGTGGACAGTTGGCTCCGTGTCATATGACAGATTGCTACCCCAGTTGGGTCTCTATGGCTAACAGGCAGGGCAGGACAAGGATCTGGACTGAGTCCTCCATGTGTTGATGGGAGGGGAGAGATGAGGAGGACCTGGAGAGGCTTCACCTGCGATTGTAGAGATGGCTGGGTTCCCACGGCTAGGGATCATGGGTACTAGACTAAGTCTCTCAGCTAATATATTCCCCATTACAGCTTTGGGATTGTCATCTGGGAAATTCTCACTCAGAAGAAACCATATTCAGGTAACAGATGATCATGGCTCTATGCCTGTGGGAGGCTGCGGTTGGAAAACACAAGAGGAGAAATGGGTTGTGTGAACCATAGTATGGAAACCTCATGGATTTCTACCTTGCTCTGCTTCCTCTACCCCTCAAATGCTAGAGCTTATATAATAGCGAGCAAATGTCAGCCTTGACCTTGTTTCATAGATCCAATACCCCGAGTCTCCTGCTCTTTAAAATGTGGAAAACTAAAGCCTTTCCCCAAGCCTGTTTGTCTCTTCTGCTGCTTTTGCCCAGAAAAAGGATGTGGGAATCATGTTGAGTCTTGGCTAGAGCTGGACCAGTGACTCAGCTGCTCAACCGGAATTTCAAGTAGGTCCCACACTCAGCTGTCTACTCCTTGAGGATGTATAGGGCAGCTACTGCATTCCAATCCTGTCAGGATCCTCCCAACTTCCACCCACTTGCCAGCCCTCTGTCCTCACCTTTTCAAATCTGCACGGCCTGGATCTTCCCTTGTAGGGCTCAGTATGATGACCATCATCATCCGGGTAGCTGCAGGCATGAGGCCCCCCTTGCAGCCTGTGGAGTGGCCAGGGGAAGCCTATCAGATGGTGGACCTGATGAAGCGCTGCTGGGACCAAGACCCCAAGAAGAGGCCATGCTTTCTAAGTACCTACCCCTTATTCCATGCCAAAGAGCTAGAGACGGAGGAACAGGAGACATCTTTAGCACTAGAGCTCAGAAAGATGAATAAGACATATTCAGGGTGGGGCTGGGAGGCAGACTCTCTGAGTTGCACAGCTGAGGATGGATTTTGTCAGTGTTCACCGTGTGCCTAAGGGAGGTAGAGTCTGCAAATGGGAGCAGTAGCATCTGAGCCTGGTCCTGCCCCTGAGCTCTGTAGCTATCTCTGGGGACTTTGAGTACTGTGGAGTCTATAATGTCATAGGTTGGAAGGGATGGGGTTATCTGGTCCTCTAGGGACAACACACAGAGGTGTGAGCATCTTAGAAATCACCTGGTCCTTGTCTTCCCCTTTTGTGAAAAAAGACTTACCTTGGGAGGGTCACTGACTTGTCAAGTGTATCCCGGCCATGTCAAGGGTAGGGCTCAGCTTCCTACCTCATTGTGGGCATATGGGAATATACATGAACTTAGGAATGTGTTTAAGAGAACTCAGGAAACCTAATATCTAAAATGTGATGAACTCCATTGAATTTGCCTGTTTAACCTCCCTTTTCTCTACCCCAAATCCTTGTGGAGCAGATGTGACCATTGAGACAGACATGCTGCTGTCCCTGCTCCAGAGCCCTGTGGCAGACCCTGAGTGTGAAACCCTGGCCCGGAAGGTGTCTTGCAAACCATCACTGAGCCAGCCCCACAAGGTATATATGGCAGGCTGGGCAGGCCACTGTAGGGATGCTGGAAGCCACTGTGTATCATCCATAGTCTCTGGCTGGTCTGTGAAGGAATAGGCAAAAGCTGTTATTTATGAAGCCACTCAACTGCTGAGGGGAACATGGGAACTGTAAGCCAAGCTAGCCCATACTTAGCTCTCCAACCCAGGGAGGCTAGCTGGGGGCTGCCACAATCCATAGGGAAGGACACATTCCCTTATTTACCTAACTGTTCTCTTAAGGCCATGGATGCTGTGGCTCAGAGCCCCCTGGGAAGAATCTTATCCTAAGCTGTCACGATGTAGATGTCAGCATCATCCTTCCAGTCTCCTGTCCCTATTCTCTGACATGGGAACTATCAGGGACTATCAGAGGGTTCTAGAGATATACCCTGAAGTCTCTAAATGAAGGACAAGCCCTAGAACTTCCCTGCTGAGTGATTTCTTCTATACATGTGCTGGAGAGGCAATGGTATAGGTAGATTTCCCAGGAAGGGTTGGATGGGTAACAGAAAGCACTGGAAAGAGGAAAAGCAGGGAGGACCAGAGCTGATTGCTGATGAGCCACCCTGTACATGCCTTCCCAGGTCAGCGAGGAAGTCAATCAGGAGCTTTCACACAGTGGTAAGTCTGTCCTGCTGAGATGGGACCAAAGACTCCCCATGGAGGAAAGGGTGGGATCTATCCATTCTCTTTGCTCAGGCCCCATGTCTCCCTCTCTCTTTCTCAAGCCTGCCACACATCAGGGATGGTTCAAAAACACCCAGGCCCTTGGGGTTCTGGATCAGTTTCCCCTTCATGTCATTAAAAGATCAGATTCCCCTGTTTCTATCATGAGAGATAGAACACTGGCTCTCAATATTGGCTTTGTGTTAGGCTTATTTGAAAAAAAAATAAAATGAGAAAAAGGTATGTCCAGTGCCTACCCCAAACAAATCAGAACCTGTAGGGTTGGGCCTTGGCAGTGCTCATTATTTAGTTCTGGTACACAGTAGGTGGAGCAGGAGGAGGTGAGGCCTGGAGGTCTTATATCACACAAGCCCAAGTTCTAGTGCAGTTCTGATTTTTCACAGCCTGCCTTCTTTTTGGACCCTTCTCTGAACATTCTTCCCTAATAATCTGTCTTCCCACTGGCAGAACAAGCCAGTATTGTTCATCTCCCCTTTAAAGAGCTGGATGTGGAGGCTCAAAGAGGTCGAAACTGGCAGGACTCAGGGGATGTTCAGAGGTGGAGTAGGGATTTTCATCCAGGCCTCTGGGTTCCAGCTCCATCCTGCCTCCTTTGTGAAGCCCATGGGTTCCAAGCTCTAACAGAAGCAATGACCCTTGACACCATGAAAGCCAAGTCTAGGCTGTTTCACCAAAGTGTCTCCAGGAGGCAGGGGGATTCATAAGGTGATCTCTGAAGAGGTTATGGGTCAATTTTTTTTCCAACCTACCCCTTTATCTTAGCAGGCTCAGGTGACTCCTTGAAGTGGGTCCTACAGCTCTCTGACAACAAGATCCCAAGTGATGAAGAACTACATGTCTATGAGAACAAGATGACTCCCCTTCATTTCCTAGTGGCCCAGGGCAGTTTGGAGCAAGTGAGGCTGCTGCTGTCCCATGAGATTGATGTAGACTGCCAGACAGCCTCTGGCTATACACCACTCCTCATTGCCACCCAGGACCAGCAACCTGATATCTGTGCCTTGCTCCTGGCACATGGTGCTGATGCCAACTTGGCAGATGAGGATGGCTGGGTCCCACTGCATTTTGCAGCCCAGAATGGGGATGACCACACTGCCCGTCTGCTCCTGGACCATGGGGCTCTGGTGAATGCCCAGGAACATGAAGGCTGGACTCCACTCCACCTAGCTGCACAGAATAACTTTGAGAATGTGGCACGGCTTCTGGTCTCCCGACAGGCTGACCTCAACCCACAGGAGGCTGACGGCAAGACGCCCCTCCATGTGGCTGCCTACTTTGGCCACATTGGTCTGGTCAAGCTACTGACAGGACATGGGGCTGAACTGAATGCTCAGCAGAGAAACCTGAGGACACCTCTGCACCTGGCAGTGGAGAGGGGAAAAGTGAGAGCCATCCAATACCTGCTAAAGAGTGGGGCATTCCCTGATGCCCTTGACCATGGTGGCTACAGCCCACTGCACATTGCTGCAGCCAGGGGCAAGCAAATTATCTTCAAGATGCTTCTCAGATATGGGGCCAGGCTTGAGCTACCCACACAACAGGGGTGGACACCCCTGCACCTAGCAACTTACAAGGGCCACGTGGAGATCATCCATCTGCTGGTCAAGAGTCATGCAGACCTGGATGCTCTTGGAAGTATGCACTGGACTCCCCTGCACCTGGCTGCCTTCCATGGGGAGGAGGTGGTGGTTTTGGCACTGCTACAGGGTGGGGCCAACCCCAATGCTGCTGAGCAGTCAGGCTGGACTCCTCTCCACCTGGCAGTGAAGAAGGAGACCATCCTGAGCATCATCCACCTTCTGGAGCATGGTGCTGACGTCCATGCTTGCAACAAGATGGGCTGGACACCTGCCCACCTGGCTGCTCTCAAGGGCAACACAGCCATCCTCAAAGTGCTGGTGAAGGCTGGTGCCCAGCTGGACGTCAAGGATGGAGTTGGCTGCACACCTTTGCAGCTGGCCCTTCGAAGCCGAAAACGGGGGATCGTGACCTTCCTGGAGGGCAAGGAGCCTTTGCTAGCCATTCTGGGAGGTTCAAAGCCTGAATCCCAGACAGAAGTTCAGATACAACAGGGCCTCTTTGCCTGGAAGAGGAGAGGATTGTGAAACGAAACTTGGCTTTGGAGAGGCCACTTCCCACCTGCCCATTTGACCTTGAGAGGAACCAGTGTCCCAGGTGACAGAAGGGAGGGGAGACGTTCCAGTGAACTTGTTCCAGTGAGCAGGGGAGCTACAGAGTGACCGGAAAACTGGTTCCAGCTCCCCTCCAAGTCATCTCCAGTCTACCCTGGCTCTTCCTTCTTTTCAAGTGAGCTCATGTGCCCATGCTAAGCTTCCCTTCCAGCCCCTGCCACCTTCTGTTGCTTGCCTCAGAATAATGGAACCCTTGCATCCCAAGGAACACCCCAAAATAAAGGCCTAGAGATGAGGATAAAGGGCTCCTCTTAGCTCCAATTTTGTATTCTAGGTGTTTCACCTTAGACTAGAGGAGGAGAATCAGACACCTGCTCTACATTGGGAGCATGCACTTGGAGCTCAGAGGATGCATCTGCTCACTGTTAGTCTCAGCCAGGCTCCTGTCACAGTGATGACCATAGCTTCTGGTGGCACTGGTCTCAGTCTCTGGTATCATATATCTTGGGAGTGATAGAAGAATGTGCCCAAGCTGCAGATATATGCTCATCTACGGGATGCCAGTTTTCTGTCTCCAACCTCTTGCTTCTCTGTGACCATTGATATGGTCAGTTTCCAAACTCCAGAGTGAATAAAGCTGATGATGTCATTCTCCCAATTACACATGGATCATCTGGGTACCCATGGAAGCCAATGGGGTTAATATGGCATATGTGTGTCTGTAGTGTCAGATATGTTATATATGTGCACAATATATGTGTGTGAGCTCATGAGGGAGGAGAGAGAGGGCAGCTGAGGGGAGTTGGGTGACTGTGTGTGCATGCATGTGTGATTTGTCTGGTGTGGTCCATGTACATATATGATATTTGTGTGAGAGTTTATGTGAAAAGAGGTAGAGCAGCTAAGAGAAGTTGTAGGTGTATACATAATGCATGGGTACATATAGGATGCATCTGTGAACCCATGTGAGGGAGCAGGCAGGGTAGCTAAAAGGAGAAGGAGATATAAATGTATAATACTTGTACGTGTGTATAATTGGTATGTAAATACATGCAAGGGAGGAGGAAGGGCAGCTGAGAGGAAGTTGGTAGTGCAAAGGGGTTGTCTGGGCTTGGGGTGGAGCTGCAGAAACAGGGACTTCCTTTCTTCCCCCTCAGCTGCTCAGAGAACTGCTTTCTATGAACACATATAAGCCACCCACTCATTGGTCTATCCATCAGTTGTGGGCAGGTTGGGTAAGGGCCAGAGCTGCTAATATCCACTGTGTGTATTTGTAGGTCTGGTTCAGTGATCTGTGAGACAGTGGCTGTTAGAAGAGTATGAGGAGGGCAGGTTCTCCCTTCGACTTCATCTCCCCACCCCATTAGCACCCTGGCATCATCATAGTGAAAGATGGGGCAAAGAAGACTTGCTACCCTGTGTGGCACCCTGCTTAGGGTATGAGTTCATTTTGGCAACCTCTCTCCCTCTGTCCCAGGATCTCTAGAGCAGCTCCAGCTGGGCTCTGGACAGCTTTAGGACAGTCAATGGTAAACCTGGGGTCAGCACTTGACTGGGCTGTGTCTTTGAGAAGCAGCTATCAGGCTAGTCTACACATGAGAATATCCTGGTGAGCCAGGTGGTAGTGGCGCACGCCTTTAATCCCAGCACTCTGGAAGCAGAGCCAGGCAGATCTCTGTGAGTTCGAGGCCAGCCTGATCTATAGAGCAAGAGATTCAGGACAGGCACCAAAACGGCACAGAGAAACCCTGTCTTGATAAACCAAAAAAAAAAAAATCCTGATGAGGGATTCTTTAAATATACCCTCAACCAACTAAACCACAATCTGCTGGGCAGACCCTGATGTGAATGAGCACCATGACTCTGAAGTGGAGGAGCCAGGGCCTAGGATGACCACCAGGGGGCATACCCAAGGCTTTCTCTGAGCCCTTTCTCAGCAAAATCATGCCTATAGGAAGTCTTCCCCACCAGAGATGTAGTAGAAATTTCTGGGCTCTGGGAATATTCAACAGATTGTTTGTTCCTCTACTATGCCAGCTGCCTGCTGTAATTAAGAAAATACCCCCAGTTCTGTCTCCTAAAACATTCAGCAGAAGGAGGGAAGGGGCAGGTCTGTGTGCCCTACTTGAACCTGAGAATACTGATGGAGCTCGAAGTCTAGGATTCCAGAAAAGCCAGAGGAGATACAGGGACCGCATATTCACATCTGGGTAAGCTCAGAGCAACCAAAGGGAATGTTGATGATGGAACCACAGGAGAAGATGGTGCCTGGCTTATCATGTAAGGAAGGGTGTCAGGATAACCTTGAAGAAAGGTGTTGGGAGGAATGCTTTGGCATTCATTATCCAGTACATGATCCAGGGTATCCTGGAAGTGTGGTCAGGACTGTGCCGGTGAATTACTTTGTCTCTGATGATCATGACTTTGCACGGAGATCCTTGGATCCCTGCTTCTTTGAATCACTTCCTCTAAGAGCTAACAGAGACAATAGTTTGGGTTCCGTATTGAACAAGAGGACTTTGTTGTCTGCTGTATTTTCAAGTTGCCCTGGACAGACACATACACCGTGAGCTTCATTTGGACCCACCTGCCTTCTCAGTTATGGAGGGATATTTTAGACTGGGCTTAAGGGAGGTCCTTGAAATTGCTGGAAGTAGGTCCCTGGTAGGTTACCACTGTGTTTAAAGTGCCTAAGGATGGAAGTGCTAGAAACTGGAACCCTAATTTCTTACTGAGCATCTCTATAAGGAGGACCTAGAGAACCCTCACATTCAAATCAACCCAAGTGAACATTCCCTTCCCATCCACAAATCTGTCCCTCACCCTTTATCCATATCTTAGTTGAAGGTCCCCAAACTCCTAATCTAGGACTGGTATTTCCAACAGGACTGTAAAGGAGGGAAGAAATCCTTGGGATCTATCTTGCTTAGTAGGGTACCACTAGCAACTTGTAGGACTGAGTCCTTGAAATATAGTGAGTGTAGCTGAGAGATCAAATTTTTAATACTGTTAAACTTAAGTAGCCATATGTGGATAGAATTAGTCTATGACCTCCCCTTCGTTATCCCTTCTCCAGTCAGTTTCCAACCTAAGCATTGGGTTGATCAGAAAGAGCCTCCTGAAAGATGTAAATATTGAAGATGACATGGATGGACCTGAGTTAGGGCCAGAGGCTAGGCTAGGTAGATGTGGAGGTACTCCATAAGCTCCAAAAATGTGGGAGGGACAGACTTATTTCTACAGGCAAACAATGGGATGTCTTCCCAGTGGGCAAGACTCTGATGTCTACCTTGGGTCTCACTGTGAGAGGATGAGGAAAGCTTCCATCTCCTTCCAATTAAAGGATGGATAGATAGAGCCGGAATGTCCAATCAATTCCAAAGACCCGCTAGGAGTTGTGTGTAATGGGGAAACTGGATGCTGGGGGAGGAAATTGGGATTCCAGGCTATGACAGAGGATTTAGAGGTGGCCAGACAAACCTGGGCTAGAGTCTTCCTTTTACACTTTATTAGATGTAGACTTCCCCTAGATGTTACCCTTAGACAAGGAAGCCTGTGGATGCTCCAGCTTCTGAGTGTAGAAGAATTTTTGTTGTGAGGATGCTGTTGGATCACACAGCCCCCGCATGCATGGGCACTCACCTTCACTCTGTTTCTCTTCTGTCTTCCAGCTCTTGTCCTTTCTCTTCAACATTATTCCACTTACCTGCTCTGTCTTTACCATGTACAGAGGCGAATTTCTTTCCTATTCTAAACCTTTGCTTAGGTGGCTTCTTGTGCTTTGAGAAGTCAGTGGGTAAAACCCTCCCAGATATGAGACCAGAAACCAGAGGGAGTAGTACATTTTAGCAAGCCACAGCCAAGGGAATTAAACTGCAGGCCGGAAGTTCCAATTGGCTTGTGTGACCTTCTCAGATAGGACTCAGGCTTGTAGTGATCTGCAGAAAACTATTGGGGGCTAGAGACACCTATGGATGCATCCTATAAGCACTGAGAAAGTACGGGGTGGTGGCACAGAGTCAAGATGCAGAGAGGATGCCAATCTGCAGGCTTGTGAGAGAGGGGACAGCAGTCACCAGAGGAGGCCCTGGGCTTCTGGACACACAGATGACTGCTCTGGTCATCTGTTCAGGAGCATTTTTTTATGGAACTCACCAGCCCCAGGATAATACCACAACCCTTCATGCTAATGCTGAGTTCCCTTCCCCCATCTGTGCCTGATGGGGTCCTACATAGCTCCCCCTGCCCAGATCCAACCTACTTATTTCTACCTATGAAGCTTTTCCTGCTTGCCCTGTTGGAGATGGCCACCCCTCTTGAAGGCATTGAATTGTCACCCCTTGCTGTCTGCCCTATTGCTTGCTCAGGTATACACCCTAACTATTCCTACATCCTGTTCTCCCCCCTCTCAGTGCTCAGGACACCCATGTTTGATCCATGGTGCTTAGTCAGATTATAGGCAATGGGAGCTGGAAGGTTTTGTGCAATGTCATATAAAGGGCAAAGGGCAGGAGCCAGGCTAGCTAGCATGTGCCAGGGGAGGGAAGCTGGGGAAGGAAGCTGGGAAGGAAGCTGGAGTAGGGTGGGCCCATGCAGGAGACCTGACTACAAATCTCTCCTGGGTCACAGCCTTGCAAAACCTCAAGTTGCTGAAAGTTCCTTTGCTTCAGTCACACCATTTAGCAGCGCTTGTGTCCTTAGGGTGTTGTCATAGTTCAATCTGATGCCAAGCCTATGAAATGGCAAGGCAGTTAATAAGCACTCAACATTTTCAGTTTCTTGCAGTTTCTCCTAAACAAGAGGATTTTTTCTCTTGGAATAGAGCACAGATAATCAGACTTTGGGGACCTTGTGGAGAACGGTGCTGTAGAACATAGCTTCCTAGTTTTCCATGCCAGCACATTCTGGAAAGGAAGGGTGACTCTTTCTGGGCTTTGGGATGGCTGTGATCTTGGAACACATCTACAATAGTATGGAGTCACTACAAGGTAAGGGCAAGCCCCGGGCTCACGGTTGTGACTGCAGAGACCACAGTGTTAAGATGATCTACAGACTACAGTACAAAAGGCTCCAGCAGTCAAACAGCTTAGTGTAGCTCAAGCCAAAGCACCATGTCTGCAGCCATAAGAGCTGGGCAGAGTGCAGGAGGGGACTCTGCGTGCAATAAGGGGCGGTCAGATGATGGATAAAGCGACTTCAAGAAAAGGATGGGAAGTAGGAAGAAGATGGTGGACAGGAAGAAAGGATGGGGTCAGGCCCGTGCTGCCAGCCCTTCTGGCTCTGAATGTGACTCTGACCTTCTTCTCTTGGCCACCCCATTTTTCCCCTGCCCTGGATGGAGCTCAGAGCATGGCCTCCCGTGGCTCTCTTCTTCATGCTGTACATGCCTGGGGCAGCAAAATAGTGTTTGAAGGTGAGGCCACCCAGATAACCCAGAAGGTAATAGTATGGCTTCTTAGTTTGGTGTCTTCATAAACGCCATCTTTCTTATCCCCTCAACGGTTTCTCCTCCTCCCCCACATGACTGCACCTATCAACTTGATCTCTACTTGGGTGGCTGGCTTCCTCTCTCTGTCTCAGCTCCGCTCCGAGTCTTGGGGTGGAAGGTCATATGTGTGCCCATAACACAAAGTCCCAAAGTAATGTTATGGTCATGTGGCTGGCATTTTCCTTCCCTTTTCTTTTCCTGAGATAGACTTGTGAGATGGCCCTGGCTGGCCTGGAACTTGCTATGCTAGCCTCACACTTGCAGCAACCCTCCCAAGCCAGCTTCCGTCCCAGTGCCAGGATTATGTGTGCACGCATGTGCATATAGATACTCCTGATGCATGTGGTCCTAAGGACTGAACTCTACTCGGGGCCTCATGGACACTAGGCAAGCACTCTGCCAACTGAGCTACACACCCAACAACCTCCATGGTGAACTTGGTTGTTTTTTTTTTGTTTGTTTGTTTGTTTGTTTTAATTAACTTGTGCTCTCTATGACTCTACCTGGGGGTAAAGGATCTCTCTAGAGAGAGCAGCAACCATTATTACCTTGCTCCCTGCTCCGGAAGTAACCTGGGCAGAGTGAAAACGGGAATAGCATCTATTCTTATCAGGGTCTTCCCAGCCTTACCCATAAAGCTGGGGATGGGTCACTTAGGTCTCCTCACTTAGAAGACACTGTATTTTCTCTCTACCAGCTTCCTGCTTCACTTGGTGTAGCAGAGCTACAGGAATGTAATAAACAGGAAAGGACCCCCGGAAACGTAAGACACCCAGACTCTAGTCTCTTGCCATTGCTCACTTTGTCCCTGCTCAATCTCCACCTCCTGCTGCTAAGCAGGACTAGTTGTTTGCATGGACCCTTGGATATCACTGTAAAGGTCTGGTCTCAAACAGGTTTTCTTTCTCTAAAAATAAATAAATAAATAAATAAATAAATAAATAAATAAATAAATAAATAAATAAATAGAATCATGCCCACATTAGCCACTTCCAACTACACTGCACAGTCCAGGCCTGTCACCCAAGCAAACCACCTCCTCAAGTGAGTTCAGGGCACAGGAATGGCCCCCTGGGACCAGGAGGAGCAGACTATCTGGGAAGGAAAAGTCCAAAGCTGCTCTGTACAGAGAGATTCTGAAGTCACAGATACAGACTCTGTCCTTGCACCCAGGAGGAGGACAGTGAACCATTTGGCACAGGGAAGACTGGACAACAGGCGAAGAAAGCCATGTAATCGCTAGAGACAAGGATGGTCTAGGAATGGGCTCCAGGTGTGTGGAGACATTGGAAATGTCAGTGTAAGGAAGTGGGGAGGGAGAACTCTGAGTACTTCCTTCCCAAACCCACCGAGAGGAGCAGGGGCGGGGCCTTTTTGGAGAGCCGGAGCCTGGGATACCCCTTTCTGCTCTGCGTTTTCAGGTACCACTCCTCCCATCCCTTTGCTCCCAAGTGCTCAAGGGGGAGAGGGTGGAGCCCAGCCCTCCCCCTGCCCACTCTAGCTGTCAATCTGCTGTCTGGAAGAAAGACTTGAAGCCTCCTGACAATTGTGGGCAACTCTCTCCTGCCCCGCCTCCCGCCCCTGCCCTGCCCTCTTCCCCTCTTCTCTCTGACAGGGCTCTTCTCTGATTGCGCTGGGGCCTGCCTCCCCACCCCGCTTTCAGGCCTCCCTTCCTCTTTCTCTTCTCTCTCCCTCTTTGTCATCTCCTCCAGTTCCCGAAGCTGGTAAACTTGAGTGTCCTCATAAGACTTCTAATGATGAAACAAAGTTTGAATCTCCCAGCCAGGTCAAGATCATCATCCATCCTCAGACTGACGGCATGGTGAGTGCACGCATGTGTGTGTGTGTGTGTGGCGGGGGCATTGATTACTAGGTGGGTCAGCAGTAGAGAGTTTCCTAGGGTTTCTGGACTCAACAGGGATTTGATCCACTCCAGGAGATGGTCACCAAGTTATAGGTGGCCCTGAGCTACTCTAGGGGACCTGCTTAGCTTACCTTCTGGCACCAGGGTGCTCCTGGGGACAAGAGCCTTTCCCAAGGCTTAGCACTACATTCAAGTTCAGCAAGAAGATCCAAGTCCATAATTAAATGCTCAGGGCAAGTTAAGTGCTCCAAAGTTTGGTGCTAAAAATATTATATTTAGCATGCAAATTATGCCCTGACAGCTCCCCAGAGCCTGAGCCCGTGGGTGCCACTACCTTGTTTGTCATTATTCCCGATTTTTAAGGTGCCAAGAACATTCCCCTTTCACTGGGTTGATTTCTAACTCTCTTTTAAGGAGACAAGTTTCTGTTGTCGGGGCAATGCCGGCCTGCAGACCCTGAAAGCTTGGAGCTGTGAACAAGCCTGGAAGTGGGAAGAGGGGCATCTGTCCAAACCACTACCCTCAGACGTCCCTGCCTCCTCACACTACCCATGCTAGAGACTGGACAAGGGACAGACAGACTCAAGCAAAGCCAACATCCCAGGAGACACTTCTACCATGGAACTATCTCTGCCCTGGTGGCTACGATTGGTCCTTCAGAAGTACCAGGATCCAGGGAGTGGGGGAGGGGGTGGCTGGACTACCTCTTATTGTTGTCCCCTTTATGCTTTATCTAAATGTGAAAGACAGTGTTGATGGTGTTCCAGGCCACCCAAGGGCCCATGGGAATGACTCTTGTCAAAGTTTTATTGGTTTGGTGCATGTATAGTGAAGTTACAGAGTTGGAGCCCAGGGCCCTCCAAGCTGCAGCTCCCCTCCCCCCTCAGGGCTGGAGGACACCAGGCCCAACAGTGTCAGTGGCTTCCTACCCACAATCTCCTCTGAGGCAGAGGCACTGGAAAGGAAAAGGAATTGGAAAGAGAAGAGATCAGCAAGGAAGCGGTAGGAGGCTACCCACTCACTCCCCCAAAGAGCTCCAAGTTATCACCTCCAACTTGAGCCCCAACCCAGGTCCGAGGCCTGACTTCCCAGGATGGCCAGCATTTGCTGTGAGGAATGGATGTGCCCAAGACTTGTCAGAGGGTGGCTGGGTGGGTTGGAGGATAGAGGAAGATCAGCTGCTTTTCTCCTTACGGTCCCTCTAGGGGCCTGTGAGGATTAGCGTGGTTCCCTTCAAAGGGTACAGAAACCACATGGGGTGCTATAACAGGGTAGGACACAGCAGTACCCACTGCTATGAAATGTAGGGGTTCACACTGGAGTGAGGGTGGAAAACAGATTTTTTCAGCCTCAATTTCTCTGGGGTCCGTGGAGCTATCTGGTGTTTATGTGTGTGTCTCCCAACACTAATGTCGCCTGGGGGCCATGGTATGTCCCCTGCTTTCCTGTGTAGTCCCTGTGAAGTCTGAACTGTCCTTCCCTCCCACCACCTGATCCAACCTGGGCAAGCAAGGGCCAGGTCAAGCCAACCATCAGCGTGTGCTCGGCCACCGAGCCAGATTCTGGCCTCCGCCACTCCAGCGCTCCCAGGAAAGATCAAAGAAGGCCGCTGCATCTTTGGTGCCAAGGAGACAGGGTCTGGGTGTGAGAGGGGCACTCTGTGAGCTGCCCCGAGCCATGAGTCCAACCCCAGAGCCGGTAAGACACCAGTCTCCCTGGCTCTACCATGGCAGGATGAGGGTGTGTGGGCAGAGAGGGGCACCGAGCCAAGCTAACAGCAGGGCCGGCAGGGTCAAGAGAAGGCCAAGTCCATCTGGGCCTTTCTGCCCACAGCTCGCAGGGATGAGGTCTGGCCTGCCGAGGCAGGGAGGCGGGAAGCAGCTGCTGTGCAGGCGAGGGGCGGACTCAGACTCAACAGTGCAGGATCTTCATGAAGGCCTTGCGGAACTCGATGTTGAAGGTGGTGTAGATGATGGGGTTCACGGCACTGTTGACGTAGCCCAGCCACGTGAAGGCGCTGTAGAGGACGGGCGGGATGTTGCAGTCACAGTGAATATTCAGGATGTGCGTGATGAAGAAGGGCAGCCAGCAGATGATGAACACACCTGGGAAGAGGGCAGGGTCAGGCTGGCCGCGGGCCAAGGAGAGGCTGGCCCTGGGTGGGCCCTGCTCCCTCCACACCTGTCTGCTCTGTCACGGGCTCTCCTGGAGCACCCAGGCTGCTAACTGCATGTGGTCACCCCAGAACTGGAGCAAAAGGAGCTCTGGTCTCAGGTCTAAGCATCCGGTTTCTGACACTTATCTGTAGGGAAGGGCCCCTGTACCTTCCTCATTTTTTTTTTTTCATCTTCCGAATGGACACGGTGGCTGCCTGCTAGGGAAGGAAGTGACTTGAATACAAGTGGGAAACATTCTGACCCTGGTCGGTCTCTGCAAATGCACACACAGACTACTTCCCAGTTACCATTGGGGGCAATGTCATCCTCATGCTGGTGACACTGGAAAGAATTTGTTCTCAGCAGTGCGGGACATACAATTTAGGAAAAGAGAGAGCTAAAAGTCCATCTTACTCAGCGTTCACGATGGCCTCTTGAATTCAATGAGAAACTAAAGTTCATGTCAGTTCCACAATGTCCCCAGGGGCCACTTTGCTCTAGTAACACAACTGATACCCGATTCCCATCTGTCTAGGTCCTTCACATGACAAGGTTCTTGCTCCAGCCTTTCCCAAGATGTCTCAGTGTTGGTAGACACACCCTTTGTTGGTTCTACCAGAAGACCATGCCTTCTTACACAGGCAGGCCTCAGGACCACTTACTCCAGTTGGACACTCAGTGTGAAGGCGTGGGAGGATATTCTAGGGACAGAGCATTGTCTTGTGGTAACAAGACCCTAAAGAAGACCTGGTGGACTGCCACATAGAGCCTTGCTCCAAACCCATCCTGCCACACACCCAGATAAATGGAAAATAATCCCTTGCCCTTCTGGGGTTTGCCTGTGCTTCTGAGCAGGAGGGCATTAGAACCTGCCCACTCATTTGCCAGCATTTTCAGACCATCAAGGGGGTCCCAGTGTCACAAGAATGGCACACTCGCACCCAACCCTTCTTTTCCCAACTGTCTGTATCAGTCTACTTCCTAGGGCTTTCATTACACAATTTTATAGAAGTTGAAAAAAATTTAATTGCATACGTGTGTGTGTGTGTGTGTGTGTGTGTGCGCGCGTGCATGAGCATCCATATGCCACATGGAGATCAGAGGATAACTTGTGGGAACTAATTCTCCCAGTCCACCATATAGGACTGAGGGATTGAACTTAGATTGCCAGGCTTGGTGGTGGCAAGCGCCTTTACCGGCTGAGCCTCCTCTCCCAGCCCATAGAAGCTGGAGCTACCTCTCAAAAGCCCATCTTATTTTTCACAGTTTTATCCCATGGGGACTTGGCTAAGTGAAAATGTAGATTTCAAAATTCCTCATCAAAAGCAATAGTAACAAAACACACTATAATAACACACATATGTGATGCTTTCCCAACCCTACACTATCTTATGACAACAACCCTGAGAGGCAACTTACCCCACAGACTGGGAGACCAAAAGGAGAAGACACCAATGTGGGACAGGTTACGGTGCCTTACCACACACCAGTGAGGCTCAGAAACTGTAGTCAAACGGTCTGAGTTGACATAACCGTGATCAAGTTAGGTAACTACACAAGGTCCTGGTTTGCCCTTCTGTACCGTAGGCACAATGGGAGACTCTATTGAATATTGACTATTTAAATGTAAGGAGTGTGACCCGTTACTAAGAAAGTACCCAATCCATGACCCTCTAGTCACGATTATCAAGACAGGTCTGAGACCTGCGGGGATTACCCTTTCCCCTGCCAAGGCTGGACATGCCAGGGCTGTAGCCATCAGCCAGATCTGACTCACCCAGAACAATGGCAAGCATCTGAGTGGCCTTCTTCTCCTTCTGCTGGGAGAGCTTCCTGCGGCTCATTGACTTTAGGGAGGTCCGGGTTTTGCCATTGGGCATGGTCTGGATCTCAAAGAACTTGGCGATCTTGGGGTTGACAATCTTGGCATGCCCATTCTTCTCTGGTTTGGCAGGACTGTCAGGGTTGCTATGGAGGCCATGGTGGGATGGATCGGGGAGAGTTAGCTGGTGGTGACTGGGTGGGATGGGGCTATACCGGGTCCTCTCTGGTGGGCTGGTGCTTGACAGCATCTCCATCTCCAGCTCCTGAGCTCGGCGGGCAGCATCCTGTGGTGGAGGCAGAGAACTTAGGATGAAATCGCTGGGCAGAAGCCACCAAGCCTCTGTGGCTTTCCTGCCCCTCTGCACACTCCTGCAAACAACAAGGTTACTCTGACAGGAAAAGAAAGAAGACTGTCACCGTCACTGGAGAGGTAGGGGTCATCTGAATACAGCACTCAAACTTATGGCAGTCACTCCTGGCCCACTTCCTAGAGCAGTCCTTGGAAAGCCTCAATACCCTAGAAACACTTGGGTGCAAAGCACCCAGGCACTTCTCTTTTTTTAGAACCTAAGTGACACTTTCTGGGTTCTAACTAAGGGACAGACACCAAACCAGTTACTAAGATAAGCCCCTGACTGACATTCAGTCTTGGCTCACCTTCAAGAACTCAGTTCTGACTACATGAAAATCATGTTCCCCGTCCCCCTCTGCCAGGTCGGAGTACAGACTCTTTCACCAGTATGGGCGTGTGGGCTGACTAGCCTGATCCAGAAACCAAGGGCTGATTTGGAAGCTCCATATCTTCTCTGTTAGGCTGACCTGGAAGGTCCAGCATAGATCCACACATGGCTTCCAAGTTCCTCTTTAGATTCTCTTGTCCTGGACCTTGGTGGTCTCAGACCAGCCTCTGAAATAGAGCCTATATGCCCAGATGGTGAAAACGAACTGCTGCCTTGAATATAACCTGAGATCTGTTTTAGTACCTGCTTCACAAATAGCACATTAGAGTCCTATCCCCAGAACACAGGCAAATTGTGGGGGCCCTGCTATCTAAGAGACATATTGCTGGACTTTACATACACTCCTCTGTGGGTTCAAGGCCTGCTTCTTGAACTCTGGTGCTAACTAGTACTAGGAAACACTCAGGTATGCTATGAATCTATACTTACGGGTTCCACATACAGGATATGCTTCTTGCCCACCCCAGCTGCTCTGCTCCTCCCCTTCCCCATCACCAGCCACCAGCTGACAGCCCCAGAAGCTGCCTATCCAGAAGGTAGCATATGCTGAATGGAACAGTTTGCGTATGAATTCGGAAGTCACGTAGATCTGGGCTCCAGTACATGTCCGATGCTAACTGTTCAGACTTGGTTGAGCTACCTGTACTCCATGAGCCTTGGCTTCCTCTTCTGTGAGCTGAGGACCAATAAGATTTACTTCCCAGGGTCACATGAGGATTTGATGAGATGGCAGAAAGCATGGCAGGTCTTTGGGAAGTGGAAATAGCTCCTCTTGTCACGTGTTTGGGAAGTGGAAATGCTCCTCTTGTCACATGTTTGGGAAGTGGAAATAGCCCCTATTGTCACTTGTACTAGGTTACATGGGTGGGTCATGTAAGCTTCTGTGGATCTGTCCTTGCAGAACTGAGGTATCTTACTGCACCCATATTTGGAAGTATGCGAGGTGAATGTGCTCTCAGTTGATGCAAAGTAGGGTGCCAGGAGGCACTTTTCCCTTGAAATAGCTAACGAGGTCTCAGCATCAGGGACTGTGGAATCCACTGGGGGCAGAAAGATGGTGGCATTTGGGTCCCTGACCTGAGCACTTACCATTCTCCGCCTGTTCACTGGGAAACTCCCATTAGACTTCATGATAACGGTGCAGAGTTTCATGTCCTCAGGGTGAGTACAGTTGCCCTGTGGAGTGAGCCAGTACATGGGTCACACAAGACAGAGGGGAGCAGAGGTGGTGAGGGGACAGAAACCTAAGACAAAGGAGTCCATGAAGAACTCAGACTCTGAGCAGAGGCTCAGCAATTAGAGGAATATGGCTGCAGAAGACCATTGGGGTGAGAATGAAGGTTGGCACTGTGAGGAGAAGTGGGCAGGGTGGGGAGCAAAAAGAACCCATTCTTCATTCTTTGTGGAGGACCTGCTCAGGATCATGCTAGGCACGTGCTCACATCCCTTCTCACATCAAATCTTCATGACCACCCTGTGAAGTGCACAGGACTCCCATTTGACAGACCAGGAAACCGAGGCTCACAGAAGCTAAGCAACATGCCCAAGGACACACATCAAAAGAGGTGAGGATACCAGGATTTGGACCTGATGCATCTAAGCCGTAAGTTCTTGTTCTTTCCATACTGTCTTTG